ACTCAATGAAATTCAAAAACTCTATCTTGCATTTGGTTTTACTCAATACCAATTTGAACTATCGCAGTGTTATCAAAAAAAAAAAAAGTTATCAATAGGTAGGTTCAGAAGGCGCAGCAGTTGAGCGCAACCATTGCTAAACAAAAATCAGTGATCGTTATGCGTCTTTTGAACGACTTCATACATTAGCTGTCAAATTCAACTCTCAAAGGTACACACCAACATGTTGTCTCAAATGATCAGAAAAATATTACGATCATCTAACACGCAACTATTCAGTTGATCAGAAGTACGCAACAACGCGTTCAGAAGGTGCAATCGCACCAGTTACTGAGCTGTTTCGCCTTCTGAACGTGCCAAATGAAAATTCGTCTCTCTTGAAATCAAGTTATATGGCTGCGTATGTATGTACATATGTATGTACATATTCCGAAATTTTTTTTTATTTGTAAAGGTTCTCAAGAAAAACTAAAAATTCATATAAAATTACGCACAATAAATGGAAAATAAATTTTCTTCTATAAAAAATGTCTTAAATCAGTATGCAGCTCTTAAGAAAAAAATGCTCGTACATCTCGTCGCTACCATGTCCAACTATCGAATGTGAAAATCGGCACTTTTAAAAATTTTGATTTGCCACTAATAATTTTATTTCGTATAGCAGCATTGCTTAAGTTATTGTTTTTGACAACTTATTTGTTGGTTAATGACTGCAAATAGTTTTATAGAAAATGAGAGACGAGAAATAATACTTTCATAAAAATTTAAGTACATACATAGATTTAAAAAGCTGCTTGATTTTTTTAATAAATACTAAAATTAGAGGTGTATGAATGGCGAAAGAAAATCTTTATCCGATTTTTTTAAATCGAAACCACGTTTTTACATATGTACATATGTATGTACGTGCATACATAAATATATTTAATATGAAATTGAAATTTTCACATCAATTTGCGCTATCTTCAAACCCATGGTTTCAATTGTACGCATATCGTCAGGGTTTTCCCCACAACTTGGTTTTGCTGCAGTGAAGCGACAGAACAAGTGACGAGAAAAAATATATGCGGACACTTACATATATATGTATCTATGCACATACGTATCTATGCACATACGTATCTATGCACATACGTANGGAATGAACTGATCGCTTTTGTTCGAGCATGTCCTATGAAGAGACTAATTGTTCACCTTTATACCCGAGAGGGTATAAAAGCGACTAGTCACTTTTAAAAAATACAAATAAAAATTTGCGCCAGCTGAGATTCGAACCGGGTTGCTCAGTTTTGTTAGGCGAATACTATATCTGTGTGCCAACGCCGCACATGAAATTTCATTGACTAAGTGCGTACATATGATTAAATCGTTAATAGTACCCGTTAGAGATGAGTTGGGGACTAATTGATCTCCAATTATACCCATAAGGGATGAGTCGAGACTAATTGAGCTCCATTAGTACCCGTATGAGACTAGTTGGGACTAATTAATGCCCAATTGTACCCGATTGAGAGGAATCTCGGAATACTCTCTTTAGAGATTAGTCGCACAATTTTTTGCAGGGAGTGACGAGAAAAATATATGCGGACACTTACATATATACATATGTATATATGCATACGTATCTATGCACATACGTATCTATGCACATATGTATGTATCTATGCACATACGTATCTATGCACATACATACGTATCTATGCACATACATACATATGTACTTAGGTATGTATATCAGCATTTTAGTTGAAAGTACGTTTTGCTCGTCGCTCTCTTCATCGCTCCACTACATTCCTGTCCTTAGTTTTATTCAGATACCACAAATGTATGTTTTCTTCGAAAATACTCAAGTACTACCAGTAGAGTACTCTACTGTCAAATACCTTTTACTCGCAGTAGTTGCGGAAGGCAAAGTAAATACTCTACGCGTCTTGCTATTGATCGGTAGTTTACGTACGCTTGCAGAAACTGGTTTATGCTTACTCACACTTGACCCGAACGATGAGAGTAAAGGAGGGAAAGTATTTGCGCGGCGATCGGATGTCTTGTTAGGCCCTTTAAATGGAATTGCGCAGGAGTTTAGTATGTACATATATGCACATTTTTATGAATGCATGTACTATCAGTATTTAACACCACCAATATCTCGTTTTAGCTTGCTTGGTTGCGAGTCGATACACAAACTATTCTCAGCATACAGAACCATGTCATTACAAAAAATCATCGTATCGGCGTCAGTCACACGGAGCATCGCATTTGGCAGCTGCGGATACGTGATGTTCGCGAGGCAGACCGTGGATGGTATATGTGCCAAATAAATACGGATCCGATGAAAAGCCAAGTCGGCTACTTGGATGTAGTGGTACCACCTGATATCATTGACTATCAAACCAGTAACGACATGGTCGTACAAGAGGGCCAAAACGTGACTCTTACGTGCACAGCAACAGGACTGCCAATGCCTACGGTAACCTGGCGACGTGAACGTGATATACCGCTGCTGCAGAATATTGCTGGATCTAAGATTTATAGCATTGAAGGTCCGCATTTGACACTGTGGCAGGTGACTAAGGAGAGCATGGGCGCTTACTTGTGTATTGCTTCAAATGGAATACCGCCGACTGTGAGCAAAAGGGTACTCGTTGCAGTTAATTGTAAGTGATTGAATACATCAAAAATAAAATACTTTTGAAAAAATCGTTTTTCATAGTTGCACCTACTATTTGGACCCGTTATGACTCGGTCTATGTCGGCTATGGTCAGAAAGTGGCATTGGAGTGTATTTCCGAAGCACATCCGACCACGGTAAATTTCTGGCTTAAAGACAAAGAATTGGTGCAGAGCGGAACTTATGAGTCGGTCTCATTAGACAATATCTTCAGAATTGTAATGCGTTTAATAATACGACCCATGGAGTTGAAAGACTTCGGTGATTATCACTGCGTGGCTAAAAACTTAATGGGTGAATCGGAACGCGTTATATCAGTGCTGCGTGAGTGACTCTGGAAAAATTAAATATCTGCTCACTGAAGTTACTTATATATTCTATTCCACAGATAAATCCAGGAAGAATATTCGTCATTCCCATGCGTTGGATGGGAAAGACAATAACCTGATTTTAGTCGAGGGTAGGTTACTCTAATGGTGACTTTGCGGTTGTAAAAATATTTCTTATTTGCAGAATACACTTCAGATGGTACTTCCTTAGCGACCGCGTTTCGCACTATGTTGATAACCGCGGCTGTGCTTCATTGGAGATTAAATAAATAATAATTATTGAAAAACTTAATGAATAAAGGAATATTGAGCAAAATAAAAAATTTTCTAAGTCTATAAATGTAGTTGTTGGGCGTAATGTATCCACTGCGCTTGATTTTGCTGTTAAAAAGTGGCTACATATTTCGTCTTTTAAACCTTCTGTTACCGCTGACGTTGTTATTTCCTATGTTGCCAAACATTTTGGTATAGAAAGTAAATATGTACATCTCTTGCTTTACATTGGTCAAAAAGGTACTCCCGTTACTGAGTTGGATAGTGTTAACTTTAAACTTGGTGTTTCTTCACGTTTTTACAATACGCTCTTAGATGCAAAATTTGTGGCCATTAGGTATAAATGTTCGGCCCTTTCACTTTTTTTAGAAAAAGTAGCATGTGCAGGAAAAGTTTCTTAAATACTAAGAGATATAGTGCTAAAAAAAAGTAAAAAATCGTTGAGTATTTATTACCAAAACATCTTGGGAATGCGTACAAAAACCAAAGATGTGTTCCGACGTGGTTAAATAATAATTTTTCTGATGAGGAATTCTTTGATCCTAATTTCTCCTTACATATCGTAAAGATAGAGATGCAACTAAAACAAATTGCTTAAGAGGTGGAGGGGTTTTAATCGCAGTTAATCGTATCTTTCGCTCATCTGTTGTTCCCCTTGAAAATAATGACTTTATTCTTGACCAACTCTGCGTATGTATCTATGGAAATCTTGGTAGTTTATTGGTTTGTGTCTCGTATATCCCACCCGCTAGCTCGGAGTCTTTATACGCTGCCTATGTAAGTAATACTTTACATCTACATATATGAAAACAATGAGGTCTGTAACTTTTGTACATTAGGTGACTTTAATCTTAATAAAATTAAATGGTCAAATTTTCTAAATAATAGCATTTTAACCCCAACAAATATCAATAGTAGCCCCGAAATTACCTTAATAGACAGCCTTCTTAGCATTAGTCTCATTCAAATTAAATCATTTTTTAATAAGCTTAATAACATCCCAGATCTCATTTTTGTTGATGAGAATTTAATCTTTCCAATTAGCTGAATGTATGATCTGCTTCAGTTGAAATCTGGCAGGTATTAAGTAACAAAAAAACTAATTTAAATATGGATAATTGAGTCGAAACTTTTTTAGAACCTTCTTTTATTTCTATTTAGATTGAAGATTTACAAATATTATTAGAATTAATTTCCGCGCCAAAATACCCGTACTTTAGAGATGACACCCGCCATCAGTGATTGGACTTCTATCACATTGTGGTAGTTCTGCCACCTTTTTGACCATCTACCACACAAGGTCTGAAATCTACCACATGTTCGCATTTTTGAGTAGTTTTATTTTTGCTCGACATAATTTTCTTAATTTCAAGAGCAAAAATTGTCCAGCACTAAACACTAACAACAGGCAGAATGGGATTATAAAATAAACTGTAAAATATTAAATTTTCTCAATATGGCTCAACCACGGTGACGGGTGTGACATTTCAACTCACATTTTAAGGGTTAATTCTTAAACTGTAATACAAAATTCTTTAAAACGAATATTTTGTAATAGGTTTCCGAGATATACACAATGCCTGGAATAAAAATTCCAAAAACAATTTAATCCGAACGAGTTATCTGAATTTTAGTCACTGTGACGGGTATGACGAGTACGCAACCAAATTAACTACTCCTTACTTGCATCAGAGTTTTTCTGCTAATTATGTCTTCTGATTATGGTTTTAAATAGTTCGTTGTATAGTTAAATAAACCTTCTCAACATTTACGCCAAAGTTGCTTGCCGCTATTGGAAATTATAGATTATATGTTCCAAATTCAACTGTGACGGGTGTGACTTGACTTTGTGACGCATGTGACAAGTTGAGCATGAATACACAAATACACATTATTAGACAACTAAGCTAACTTTATTTCTCAAAAAATCGGATTTTACGCACACATGCAAGATTCTGCCACCTAAAGACGGGATAATCCTTGATCGGACCCTTCTTCTCCATTGTATGTCTTAGTAATTGTAAAGTACCTTATTTTTAAATAGTATAAGGCTATTACCTGTCAAACCGAGGCCGTTACCTGAAAAACCCGTTTTTTTTTTGCCCTGACAAACGAAGTAATGATATCTTTTTATCCGTGACAGCATAGCTTAAGTTTTCCCATCGCTCGAGCAACATATCTTTATGATTAGCTTTATCATCGCTGATCACAAACAGATATATGACACATTTCATACTAGCTGATAAAAAACGGTAGCAGTCCCTGGCCGAATTTATTGAAGTTTGTCAAACTTTAAATTGTGACGGGTGTGACATGTGACGGGCGTGACCAACATAATCGGTTATTTTTTCGAAAATAAAAGCATATAAATACTTAAAAGCAATTCGCACATATTTCCCTGTGTCATAGCGTTACTTTCGTCAGCTTTTTTACACTGTCCAAGATGTGTTTTCCTTCAAAAAATAACTATTTTGTGTATCTTGTGACGTGCGTGGCATTAAAATATGCTTTGCTTCAATATATAATAAAATATTTAGTACTTGCCCGAAAAATTTTAAAATTACTCCGTTACAATGCTAAAGAATTTGTCTCTCCACTGACGGTTTAAACAATGCAAAAAAGGTAATAGACTACGAAAATCNATGACGAGTACGCAACCAAATTAACTACTCCTTACTTGCATCAGAGTTTTTCTGCTAATTATGTCTTCTGATTATGGTTTTAAATAGTTCGTTGTATAGTTAAATAAACCTTCTCAACATTTACGCCAAAGTTGCTTGCCGCTATTGGAAATTATAGATTATATGTTCCAAATTCAACTGTGACGGGTGTGACTTGACTTTGTGACGCATGTGACAAGTTGAGCATGAATACACAAATACACATTATTAGACAACTAAGCTAACTTTATTTCTCAAAAAATCGGATTTTACGCACACATGCAAGATTCTGCCACCTAAAGACGGGATAATCCTTGATCGGACTCTTCTTCTCCATTGTATGTCTTAGTAATTGTAAAGTACCTTATTTTTAAATAGTATAAGGCTATTACCTGTCAAACCGAGGCCGTTACCTGAAAAACCCGTTTTTTTTTTGCCCTGACAAACGAAGTAATGATATCTTTTTATCCGTGACAGCATAGCTTAAGTTTTCCCATCGCTCGAGCAACATATCTTTATGATTAGCTTTATCATCGCTGATCACAAACAGATATATGACACATTTCATACTAGCTGATAAGAAACGGTAGCAGTCCCTGGCCGAATTTATTGAAGTTTGTCAAACTTTAAATTGTGACGGGTGTGACATGTGACGGGCGTGACCAACATAATCGGTTATTTTTTCGAAAATAAAAGCATATAAATACTTAAAAGCAATTCGCACATATTTCCCTGTGTCATAGCGTTACTTTCGTCAGCTTTTTTACACTGTCCAAGATGTGTTTTCCTTCAAAAAATAACTATTTTGTGTATCTTGTGACGTGCGTGGCATTAAAATATGCTTTGCTTCAATATATAATAAAATATTTAGTACTTGCCCGAAAAATTTTAAAATTACTCCGTTACAATGCTAAAGAATTTGTCTCTCCACTGACGGTTTAAACAATGCAAAAAAGGTAATAGACTACGAAAATCAGTCTGTAAATTTTGAAAAAAATTAACCTCTCATATGGGTTTGTAAATGGTACAACCTAAAGTAAAAAATATCTGATTTTGAGATAAATTTCAGAATTTTGGCTTTCAGTCTTGAAAGTTAGATTTATTTACTCTGACATACTAGAAATAATACAGTCACATTCTTTAGTTTATTTTCGTTTCATTCGGTATCGATTACTGTGGAATGAGCCATATTACATTTTTCGACGGGAAACGTGGTTTTATTAGGGGAATTGGCTCTTATGTGTATTCGGTGTATGTTGTGTAATCGTAACTGCATGAGCGTGCGATTTGTTGTTACTAGCGGTACATCAAATACACATGCAACAACAACCACACGCACGCCCAGTTACACTTACGCAGGATACAGCGAATACACAGAAGCGCGAATACCACTATTGTGTTAAATTGCAAAATAGACGATTTATAAAAATAAGTAATAGCGAAAATGTTAAAAAACGGCGATTTTTGTGAAAGTGTTAGCAATTTCAGTGCATCAAAAGCTTCTAAAGCGTTGTTTACCTTTACTTGAGAATTGTCAAAATCGGCAAATCCCAAGTAGCGGTTTCTGGAACGTGTCACATTTGTTCACTACATCGTGATGTGATAAAAAAAGCGCTGTAAAAACTGGCAGCACTCTGCAAGGTTGCAGAAATCTTTCAAAATATGTTCNCACACATGCAAGATTCTGCCACCTAAAGACGGGATAATCCTTGATCGGACCCTTCTTCTCCATTGTATGTCTTAGTAATTGTAAAGTACCTTATTTTTAAATAGTATAAGGCTATTACCTGTCAAACCGAGGCCGTTACCTGAAAAACCCGTTTTTTTTTTGCCCTGACAAACGAAGTAATGATATCTTTTTATCCGTGACAGCATAGCTTAAGTTTTCCCATCGCTCGAGCAACATATCTTTATGATTAGCTTTATCATCGCTGATCACAAACAGATATATGACACATTTCATACTAGCTGATAAAAAACGGTAGCAGTCCCTGGCCGAATTTATTGAAGTTTGTCAAACTTTAAATTGTGACGGGTGTGACATGTGACGGGCGTGACCAACATAATCGGTTATTTTTTCGAAAATAAAAGCATATAAATACTTAAAAGCAATTCGCACATATTTCCCTGTGTCATAGCGTTACTTTCGTCAGCTTTTTTACACTGTCCAAGATGTGTTTTCCTTCAAAAAATAACTATTTTGTGTATCTTGTGACGTGCGTGGCATTAAAATATGCTTTGCTTCAATATATAATAAAATATTTAGTACTTGCCCGAAAAATTTTAAAATTACTCCGTTACAATGCTAAAGAATTTGTCTCTCCACTGACGGTTTAAACAATGCAAAAAAGGTAATAGACTACGAAAATCAGT